CAGTTAACTAATGTACATCCATTAGTTAACTAATAGTTTTTCCAGTAGATAACTAATGGCTGGGAAAATGGCCCATAGCGATCAAACAATTGTGTTCCCCATAATATGTACAATTTACACTGTAATTGCGGGGAAGTGTTTTGCGGGCATTTTGAACGTGTTTCCTCCGGTAGGCCTACTCCAGGCCTTGTTGTAGTCCTGGTTAACTAAATTATATTGCATGAAATAAAAACAGTATCATTGGAAGTGATGAAAGCGGTTTGAATTAAAAGTATCTAGTAATAATCCCGAAAGTCCAAAAATCTGCATATTTCTTTATTCTAAAAACCAGATGCATTGCTTTTGGTAATTAACTTTAACTTGGTATTTGGGCAAGATCGTACCCTACTAAATACGCCATGCGTAAAGCAATCCTCTTGCTAGGGTCTGACTTTGAGACTTATTTATTGATATTGCGAACGCTACAATAATTCTGAATTGGCGACGTTTAAATACAAAAGCAAGTGTTGATTCGCTGGGCTTGTAATATATATGGGGTAGTATGATTCGTTTCCCTTGTGAATCACATGTTTAATGACCATTAACAAACCCTTTATATGTACATATTTGTATTGCGGCATCCAAACAATTGTATTGCAATTCTTTAACAGTTAGGCGAGACCATTAACTAACCTTTCACGTGTACATATTTAGGTTGCGGATTACCATCACAGCTGCTCAAACTTTTAGTATCAAGTCATGAGGTGCAACTCCCCTACTCCTACTTGCTCCTGTGGATATTCAGAAATGGCTGTAGATATCGACGACTTTTCTTCTGCGGACAACTCATTAACCATTTCTTTATTAAGTATCGTACAGTGCTTATTTTGTGAACACGAAATTGATCGATCCTTCAAGCCGTTTTCATTTATTACTCCAGCCTGATGTTCAAATACCCAATCGGCAATTTTTGAGTCTGACGAGAGTTCTCGCCCTTCTCTAACCTGCAAGAGAAAACTCAAAAATTATCAGATTCTCTGAAACGTATATTTTTCGAGAGTTTAAAATACCATAGCTTTCCCTCAGTTCGTCCATCAGGATTTTTTTTAAGTTTTCCAGCACTTTAAAATTATACAAAATTGAAAACAAAGAAATGAAATTGTTCAAAATTATGGCTGTTGGGAATTGAAAATGAGAATGCGTGTGCATGGGCGTCGCTACATAGACTTTGAAGTTTACCTTATATGTAGGTATACAATCTTCGATTATTACCGCAGCGACCTCAAAAATGCAGTTGCCAGTATAGCAACTCAGTTGCCAGCTTGCAGTTGCCATCTGTAAAACCATTTCAGCTAGTGGCCACCCAACTGAAGTTGGGTTGACATATGCCTAAGTCGGCTCAGCTCGATGTTCTCTTCTTATTCGGGTACTTACAAATATCGGGCCAAAGTTATAATACCATTTCATGCTCATGAAAGGTATAGTTTTCAGATTTCAAATCGGTGAAGTAGGTAACAAAATATAAATGTAAACATTTTCTTAACTTCTTCCAGCGTATCTATTAAAATGTCATTTTCAAAAATTTCATGCATTGCATGCCATGTCGTTCCATCTCAAACATACTGTTATAGCATGTCATTGCTTCTTAGCTCAGCTGTTGTTTGCTGTTGTGTTTCTGCAGCATATTTTTAATACTATTTAATCTTGCCTTGTATGAAAATGTATATAGCAGGGGTGGGCAAGACCGAGGCCGAAAAGAACCACATCTAAGTTCTAAATGCTACAAAGAGCCACAAAAAAAGAACAAGAAAAACAAAAATTGTATTTAAAAAAAAAATTATTATTAGAAATGAAAAACATTGATTTTATTATTATTCTATTGTACGTAAGATAGATATAAAAGAAAATTCAAAAGATCCCTTAGGCGAGATTTTCAAAATCTGGTTTTAGGTCAGTTAAAACCGTTCGTAACAATTCTGTTAAATGTTGGATAGTTAATAGGTACTTTCGTTTAAAATCTCCAGTAAAAAATGTCCAACAGCGAAATTCCGGCGAAATGCCATCTGTTATCTCACAAGAGAAAAAATATCCAAAATAGTACGCGAACAGAGAATTTGCAGAAACTTGTAAGTTAGACGAACAGTTGATAGAAATTTTGTTTACATTAACAGGTCTATTCTGCGCGTTACCGAAGATTTTGTGACCGGAAAATTTTATTACCATAAAATGTTACCACTTCTTGTCACCGCGAGTCTAGGTACGTTGGCAATGCAGTGAAAATATTCAGCAACTCAGCTATGAAGATTTGTGGAAATTCCTGTATTGCATACTTCACGGGGCAATATTTTGTTACCAGCTTATGAGATGGTAACCAAATTTACCGGTTACAAGAGAGCACAGAATGCGAAAAAGGTTTAAAAATTGACAGACACTTTAATTACCGGTTATAAAATGTATGTTACCAGCGCAGAATAGACCTGTAAAAAGTATAAAATTGAAAACGTAAGAAAACAAATCCTGAATTCTTATCCTGACACAGTTCACTGACTAAACGAAAAATTACTTATTTCTTACAAGTTTAATTAGTCGCATTTTACTATTTCAACTTCCAAACCGTCAAATTTAATTTAGGGATTTGCGTAAATTCCAACCAGCTCTTCTTGATCAGCTGTTTTATTGTTGGCAAATTGCTGTGGGCTAAAATATGTATTTATATGTATAATATGTATGTATGTAAAATATGTGTGTATATGTGTAATATGTATGAAATATGTATTTTAAAAAGTAATAATAAAAAATTATAGTTTAAAAAACTAAATCGTCCCAATTATAATTGCCTTTCGTACTGTCATCAGGTATGTAACTTGAGAATAGAAATCGCTGCATCTTTTAGGCACATCAATATTACATAGTTTCATCCCGAGCTACTAAAAGGAAGGTAATAATAAAAAGAGCAAAAATATTCTAAGCAAGAAAGTAAAAAGAGCCGCACTTTGCTAAGCAAAGAGCCGCATTTTGCTCAAAGAGCCACGTTTGCCCACCGTTGGTATATAGATTTTTAATTAGATAATTGTTTAATAAATTTTATTTACTATAGTAGGAGCTTGCAAAATTCGGAAAATCTCTTCCCGTATATACAATGTAAATAATAATGCTGAATATGTCGCATGTGTTTCTTTTGTTGACATGCATAAATTTGATGCATGATTTGATTTGAATTTATTCGGCAATGTCTTCATATATCACTTTCATACATGTATAAGCGACATGATATAAACTAGCACTTGCATGATGTGTTACATGTCGCTATGTTTTGTAGTTCAGGCCTTTAGTATCTATATATAATTGCTCAGTCATACGACTTAGTTAGGCCGATCTGTAGCAGCCACAGAATTGAGCTATATATCAAACTAAAGTGCAAGCTGCAAGCAAGTGAGTAATATAATCTATTGAAAAATATTAACCATATTTACGTGGAATTGAGATTCGGAAAAGTTATTAGGTATTATTTATAGTTTTGAAATATATTTCACGAAAGCAAAAAATAAAAATAGCTGAGATCCCTTTCTTTTTTAAACACCTAGGATATCACTGACTATTAAAAAGGACCCTGAATGACCGCAAAACTCAAAGCATTACACATTTTTGTATGTGATGTTTAAAGTGAACGATCCAAAATTAGCCGGTGTACATATTTAAAAGTTTTTAGAACCAGTGATTGAATTTTTGTACTGAAAGGGTTAACCCTAAAAGTATAATCTACGTCTGCGAGGCGTATACGGAATGGGTCCTTTTTTTATTTTAACACAAAATTTACTTTTTATTTTGTTGTTTTAAATAAATGTGGTTATAGATTTTATTAATAAAACTATGTTTTATTATTAGTCAAACTCACAACTTCAATATTCTTTAAAAAATAAGGCATGACTAAGTATATTTTAGCTCACAGGTTATCTTTTAAGTACATAAGCCTCTACGGCGTATGTTAAGGCTTTACGTTACTCCCAAATAGATTAGGCTTCTAGGGTTAAGAAAGCTTTAGTGTGAAAGTGTGATATTAAGCATATTCATAATAAACGGCGCCAATTTTCAATGATTATTGCGTTTCAGACTAAGACTAATACCAGATATTGTGAAAGGTTGGACTATACCTTAAAGATGACGGTTTTCTCATGGCCCACTGCACGAAGCTTAGAGTAGAGTAATGTCTTTTAAGAACTTAAAAATTATCCTGGGTTATCAGATGTCTAGCAATTAGAGCTCTCGATTTTGTTCGCACATTTTCAAACAGCCCGGGTATATGAGCAGCGAGTACTCGCACACTTGTTCAGTGCTCATTACTCGAAAATTTTCGAGCATGAGCTCGAGCAATTCGAGTTTTTTTCGAGTAATTTGAGCAATGTTTTTTTTTATTATATTGACATTTTTGGTAGCAACTTTTTAAATTTTTCAAATTATTGATATATAATGCAAAGATTGTTTCATTGGTATTTAATAATATAATTTATTTAACATGAATTAGAAAGCAGCTGCTGACAAACACAATTTACACATTTTCTTTTGTTTATGAAATTGTTCAATTTTGAACAAACATTTGAGCAGTTGAGATATGAACGAGTTTCGAGCGAGTATCGAGCTACTCGCATTGCTCGATACCCGGGTATCTAGAGCTCTACTAGCAATAAAAGATTAATTGTTGTCTTTCACCAAGTTCTTTAAATAAATTTTGAGCTAAGTACTCACCCGTATTTCGAGGTTACTACTAGTTTTAATAAATTGTTAGTTTAATTTCCTATAAAATTTACCTTTAGGTTTATGCATTTTAAGAATACATATATCGAAAATTTCTTTTATAGAATTAATAGTTGCGTTCCTTATCTCCCAGAAATAGTAAGAAAAAGTCCGAAGTAGTCAGATTTAGTCCAAAAAGCGTTCCTTAACTTGAAAATGAAAGCAAAAATGAGAGAGCAACACTCAGTGAGAGTGACTCTCTTCAGTCCGAAGTAGTCAGACATTTCTTGTTTATGATTAGAAATAAAAATGTTTATTATTTTAGTATTGACAAAGCTACCACAAAAGATGGTACAGATGCGCTGTATTTAGGTGTTAATCAAAGTTCTTAAACATTGTGAGTTTTTTTGTCCTCAAATTGTTGTTTATAATTTTTAATTCCATATATGTATATGTATGTTTGTATGCTATATTCATTAATTTTTAATTACAATGTGCCTTTGTATTTTTGGTTTGTGGAAGATTTAATAAAGCTGGATTGCCCCTGAAGATGCTAAAAATGTTTTAGCGAAACGTTGGGCCAGAAAGTGGAATAATGTAGTTTTATTCGCACTAAAAAACATAGATCAGACTAGCCTGGTAACATAATATTTAATAAATTACGAACTGATCGGACAATATAACATATGTAGTCAGATTTAGTCAGAAGAATTTTTTCTAGCAAAATCCTGAAAAGTGTCAAACTCAACTGAATTTAAATTAACGGAAATTAAAGAATACGCAAAAAGTGAGAATAATCTAAAAAGTAAAAAAAGTGAATTGAAAGTGGAAGGAGGCAAAAAATAATTGATAT